GCCAATAGGTTTCTGGCCTAGAGCCGCCCCAAAAACGTGGCACCAGTTCCCTCGGACGTCTGAATTTGCATGCAGAAGCGCGAGGGTTTGGCTGAAAAATTTCTAACAGAGACGAGAACAGATTTCCGAGAAAAGCTGGAAGGCTGAAGTTTTTAGTTGATGTTCGCTGTTACGTGCAACTTAAAAATTTCAAATTCAGCTCCCAGGCAAATGTGTTTCTCACATATGGATACGTAAAATTTTTGACAGGAAAATTGCTAGCCTGAGTACCACAGTAGCTAAGTCATTTGCAATGAACGACGGCTCAACGAAAATCATTCATTATGCGTTTTTGCTTATACGCAAATGCAAAAACGCATATTGTGACGACCCCTGTGTGTGTGTATGTGTATGTGTGTGTGTGTGTGCGTCTGTCCGGATATTTCAACTCGGCACCCAAGCAAGCTCCAACGTCAAAATTTTGCTGTTGGGTCCCCCGGCCAAGTGCCACCCCAGGACCGCGGTATCAACTCTCATGCAAGTCTAGGTCCCGCGTACGAGGGGGTGAAAGTTTCGGCGGGAAAATCGCTAGCTCGTGAACTACAAAAGCTAGAAAGCTGAAATTTTGAGGTTATGTTGCCCATCTCCATGGAACTCAAAGATTTCAAATTCAGCCCTCACCCATGCGTGGTTCCCGCGTATGGCCTCGTAAGGGTTCCTGGCACGAATATCGCTAACTTGAGGATCAGGAAAGCTAGGGGGCTGAAATTTTCAGAGAATGTTCCCGGCACATGTGCAACTCAAAATAACCAAATTCAGCCCCTAATTGTGTGCAGTACTCACGTACGGCCACGTGAAAATTTTTGACGCGAAAATGGCTAACTCAGGGATCAGGAGAGCTGGGAGGCTGAAATTTTCAAGAAATGTTCCCAACCTATGTACGGCTTAAATTTATCAAACTCAGCCCCTGAGCATGCGTGGTTGTCGTGTATGGCCTTGTGAATATTTTTGGCGGGAAAATTGCTAACTCAATTTTTTTGGAATTTTGGAAAGTTGAAATTTCAACGAAATGTTCCCTGTCCAACTACAGCATAGACAATTAACTTCCGAGGCTCTGAGGACCAGTATATCACACATTTCTAGCTACTGGGTTTCCAAGCGATTTCATTACAGCGCGAAATATTGCAAAAACGCATGATCGCTCGGCCAGCCCTGTGCGCGCCGCCAATGGTTTCCCTCTATGCGTGGTTTACGGCGATTTATGGTAATGAATACGCAAGTTAAATGTAAAGCAACAACCATTCATACCGCTAACGAACTGACTGTTTCAAGTTTATTGCACAAATGTATGATTACACCGGCAAGCCTGGGTGTTGACGGCTTGGGTTTTTTCTTGGACTAACCTTCATCTTTCACCTTGTTTATTTGAGGATACACAATATTGAAGCTGATAATATTGTTTGCTCAGCCTCGGTGATGTCGACTTGTTCCGGCATTGTTCTAGTATCAACACAAACTCCTATTTTCTTTTTTCAGAGCGAAAGTAGAATAAGAGTTTAGAATAAGAACCATGTGCAAGTGAAATATTCATTGTGCTTAGCTTCATATAACGCAGCGTGGCTT